GATCCACTTGAGGAAGCAATCTGTCCATTCTCAGATCTCAAACTCCATGCTGGGAGAACCACTACTCTCTTCAAAGCTCAGTTGGAAATGCAGAAATCTCCCATCTTCTGCATCACTCATGCTGGGAGCTGTAGACTGGAACTGTTCCTATTTGGCCATCTTGGAACCTCTAACAAGAAAAGAAATTTATTTCTTACAGTTATGAAGTCTGACAAATGTGTTGAGGAGATGTATCTGGTGAGGGTCTTCCTACTCTTGGGGACCCTGCAGTGTCCCAAGGTGGCACAGGGCATCATGTGGTGAGGGAGCTGAGCATGCAGACATGCTAGCTCAGATCTCTCTTCCTCTTCTTATAAAGCCAGTATTTTCACACCCATGATAACCCATTAATCCATTAATCTGTGAATGGATTAGTCTATTTATAAGGACTGAGCCTTCATGATCCAATCACCACTTAAAGGTCCTATCTTTCAATATTGCCACATTGGAATTTAAGTTTCAATGCAAGTTTTGGAGGAGACATTCAAACCATACTATTATTCCCCTGAGCTCCTTAAACTTGTGTTCTTCTCACATAGAAATACGTTCATTCCACCCCCAAAGCCCCAAAGTCTTAACTTGCTCCCACACCAACTCAGAAGGCCAAAGTCCAAAGTCTCAACTGTGAGCCTGTGAAAGACTCACTCCCATTCCAAAAGGGAGAAAATAGGCAAGAAGAAAGAGCTAACAGGCCTGAAGCAAGTTTAAAACCCAAGAAAGTAGACATTAGATCCTAAAACTCCAAAATAATCTCCTTTGACTCCATGTCTGGCACTCTCTGCACTTTGGCTTGATGACTTGGTCCCCCAAAGCCTCAAGCAGGCCTGCTCCTATGACTTTCATAGGCTTAGTCCATTCAACTCTCCCAGGATGGCATTGCACATTGGTAGCTCTAAAGTTCTGGAGTTTCAGCAGCAGTTCTACTCCCATGACTCCACTAAGCATGGCCCTAGTGAGGACTCTCTGCAGTGGCCTCACTCCCACAGCCCCACCAGCCCCATGATGGGGACTCTGTAGCAGCTCCCACCCTACATTTCTGCTCAGTATTACTTTGATTAAGGCTCTCTGTGATGGCTCCACCCCTGTAACACATCTCTGCTGAGAACCCCAGACTTTTGAAGCCATTCTTTGAAATCTGGGTGGAGGCTGCCAAGCCTCCACAGCTCTCATTTTCTGAAAGCCTGCAGAATTAACACCACATGGACACTACCAAAGTTTATAACTTGTGCCTTCCAAAGCTGCAACATGAGCTTCACCTGGGGCAAATTGAGCCATGACTGAGGCAGCCATGGAGCACTGTGCTAAAATGTAGGGAGCAGAATCCTGAGGCAACCCTGGGCAGTGAACCCATGAAGATCACTCCAGGCCAATCCACTGAAAGCATTCTGCCCTTGACCTCTGGGTCTGTGATGATAGAGGCAGCATTGAAGATCTCTGAAATGTCTTTAGGGTATTTTTTCCATTGTTTTGAGAAATAGTACCTGACTCTTTTTTGCCTTTGCTAATCTTTTTAGCGAATGGTCCTGCACTCTTGGTTTCCTCTCCTGAACATGATTTTTCACTCTATATGGCCAGACTGAAAGTTTTTGAAATATTTCTACTCTGCTTCCCCTTTAATTATAAATTATGTTTTTAATTGTTTCTTTGTTCCTAAATCTCAATGAAAGTGGCCAAAAGCAACCATGCAGCTCCTTCTATTTTGCTTAGACATTTCTTCTGCTACATACCCTAGTTCATCAATCTCAAGTTTGATGAACAAAGCTCTCAAGTATTAACACAGCTCAGCCACGTTCTTGTCCAATTTATAACAAGGATGGCCTTTCCACCAGTTTCTAAAAACTTGCTCTTCAGTTTCATTTGAAATTTTATCAGAAAGGCTTTTACTGTTCATATTTCTTTTTTTATTATTATTATACTTTAAGTTCTAGGGTACATGTGCACAATGTGCATGCTTGTTACATAGGTATACATGTGCCATGTTGGTTTGCTGCACCCATCAACTCATCATTTACATTAGGTATTTTTAAGAGTGAGAACATGCAGTGTTTGATTTTCTGTTCTTGCAATAGTTTGCTGAGAATGATGGTTTCCAGCTTCATCCACATCCCTGCAAAGGACATGAACTCATCCTTTTTTATGGCTGCATAGTATTCCATGGTGTATATGTACCACATTTTCTTAATCCACTCTATCATTGATGGACATTTGGGTTGGTTCCAAGTCTTTGCTATTGTGAATAGTGCTGCAATAAACATACGTGTGTATGTGTCTTTATTGTAGAATGATTTATAATCCTTTAGGTATATGCACAGTAATGGGATCACTGGGTCAAACGGTATTTCTAGTTCTAGATCCTTGAGGAATCACCACACTGTCTTCCACAATGGTTGAACTAACTTACACTCCCACCAACAGTGTAAAAGCATTCTATTTCTCCATATCCTCTCCAGTATCTGTTGCTTCCTGACTTTATAATGATCGCCATTCTAACTAGCCTGAGGTAGTATCTCATTGTGGTTTTGATTTACATTTCTCTGATGACCAGTGATGATGAACACTTTTTCATGTGTCTGTTGGCTGCATAAATGTCTTCTTTTGAGAAATGTCTTTTCATATCCTTTGCCCACTTTTTGATGGGGTTGTTTGCTTTTTTTCTTATAAATTTGTTTAAGTTCTTTTTAGATTCTGGATATTAGCCCTTTGTCAGATGGTTAGATAGCAAAAAATTTTCTCCCACTCTGTAGGTTGCCTGTTCACTCTGATGGTAGCTTCTTTCATATTTCTATCAGCAGTGTGGTCATAACCACTTAACTAATCTCTAAGAAGTTCCATGTTTTCCCTAGTCTTGTTGTATTCTAGGCCCCCACCAGAATATAGGCTTTTTCTAGCCTACTCCTCCAAATTGTTTCAGCTTCTGCCCAGTATTGACTCTTAAAGCTACTTCCACATTTTCAAGGGTTTGTAATTAGTAACATGTGTGTTCCTGGAAAAAGTTGAATGTGGTTAAGATCTTGCCTGCAAAGACTGTGTGCTGGCAGACCTGTTGAGATATCCCATGGGGAAGTGAGTGAAAGTATATTTGTTTCAAAAGTGAAGACTGATTGCTTCTGAGAGGCTGTTTGAACTATGCATTAAATTGAACATATTAGCAAAATATGCAAACAGCAAACTATTTTCCAGCTGTTGGTTTGATGGAGTCAGTAATTTGGTAATTTAGACATGGGAGATTCATAGAGGATACCACAGCATTTAGGTTATGGTAATTTACTGTGAAGTGTCATTCATTTATATCATGTTTGAGCACTGGCCAAATCGGTTTATTAAAGGTGAGATAATAGAAACAATGACAAGGCCAGCCACACCCATCCCAAGGGAGTGTTCGTCCACTGCTCTACATTTCCCCACAAATTTCATGGCTGTAGCAGATTCTCTCATGGAACCTTTTTCTCAATGGTCTCTCTGGAACCTCTCTTCTCAGCCATATGTTTACAGTTTGTTCTCAAAATTGCCAACAATTGAGGTTCATTAGCCCCTTTTGAACTTGGGTCCACAGGGCTTCTTTAACTTCTTCAGGAAATTGATCCCATGTGCCTGCTCTAAAAAGAGCAGATAAAACCTGTGTTACTGTAGCTAACAAAGAAACCGCAAAGATGCCCATCCCCTGCCATCTAAGAACTTCAACATAATCTTTCTTAGAACATAAATTTTAAGAAATTTCTGTCTCTCAAAGTATTTTCTTCTAATTCAATAACTGCTATGGGCTCTATTTTACTTTTTTATTACACATATGAAGGTCTGTGTCTCTCAGGAACTATGATTTGATTCTGGATTGGATTCCTAGAATGAAAAATAATATCCTCTTTTTCTTGGTTAAGTTACACAAACTTGGATACTTTTCTTAAGAGAAAGGTAAAATGTGGATGGAAGCCAATGGAAAACATGTTAAAGTTTATACTACTCAAAGATCCATGTGGCACATCTCATCTTTGATTTACCTCTTAGGAACAACAAGGTAAACAGTATACTATAGTCATTCAGATTGTCAAAAGTATGAGCATCATATGTTTTTAAAGTCACTGATTTTATCATTCTATAAATGTGGATCATGAAATGATCAACTGTGAAAATCTGGAAGAAAATGCAGTACTTGCCAAAGACCACAGGTTAGTATAAACAAGGAAAAGAGGGCTGCAGGAGATCCAGGTCAATGTTTAACATCATCTAGGACTTCCAAAAACTGTATGGAAAGATGGGAAGGTTGACAAGAATGATTGTAATATAATTTTTCTAATCCATATGCTTGTAAATTAGAAGGACCCCTTTATATTATATTTGCCTCTTAATCAGAAAAATCTAAAGATGCACTCACGATACTACCACCAAATTTTCCTTCCCTGAGAATTACCACTTTATCCACAAAGAACTTGTACTGTCAAAAACTTTTTCTGGTTTCTGTAAGACAAGAATAGAAAACAGGAGAGTCTGGGTCATGATAAACTGTCATCCTTAGTTGCCTTTGAGGACTCTAAGACTGAGCAAAATCCATTCCATGATGCTGCTTACAGAGCTCTCAAAATTTCTCTTCTCAGAGACATATCTCAAATCAGTGCCTGGAAGACTCTGAATGTGGCAGAGAAACATATAATAAAATGTTAAATAACATGACTTATTGATGCTTGAGCCTTGTTCATATAGAGGAAAAGGCTCACAATATGAAATGAGATGATCTTCAGCATTGCCTGTATAGGGAAATTCCTACTTGTTTCTGAAACAAGGATGTCAGAGATTTGGACAGTAATGGAGATAAGGATCTATAGCAGATATCCATTGAAGCATCAAATAGTGCAGAGAAAGGAAAGAAAGAAACAGGAAAGCACAGAAAACAGAATGAGGTAGAGAGATGTGTGCCAAAAGCACAGAAGTAGGAGAGCTTATAATACAGTCAAGAGAAAGTACTTTACTTGTGAAGATTTTATAAACATTGGAAAGGAAACAACAGTTCAAAAACTTCTATTTTTCTGAAAAAGAAATCATGAGTAGTTCCTTAAGTGCCCAGGAACAGGTCAACTCGAGAAACGAAAAAGGTCACTTACACAAAAGATATGGGGCTTACATGAAGCCAAGTGCAGCCCAATGGGACACTGGTTTGGGCCATCTGAATGGTGAGAAATGTATGACTTGATTCTGTTCGTTAAAAAAAGTTTTATCTCTCCTACTCTAAGAAACTCTTCAATTTTCATCATTCTCACCTTTTGCCTTTAGGTTTTCCGAAGGTCAACAATGAAAAACAGAACGATGTTTGGTGAGTTTATACTGCTGGGCCTTACAAATCAACCTGAACTCCAAGTGATGATATTCATCTTTCTGTCCCTCACCTACATGCTAAGTGTCCTAGGAAATCTGACTATTATCACCCTCACCTTACTAGACCCCCACCTCCAGACCCCCATGTATTTCTTCCTCAGGAATTTCTCCTTCTTAGAAATTTCCTTCACATCCATTTTTATTCCCAGATTTCTGACCAGCATGACAACAGGAAATAAAGTTATCAGCTTTGCTGGTTGCTTGACTCAGTATTTTTTTGCCATATTTCTTGGAGCTACCGAGTTTTACCTCCTGGCCTCCATGTCCTATGATCGTTATGTGGCCATCTGCAAACCCTTGCATTACATGACTATTATGAGCAGCAGAGTTTGCATACAGCTAGTGTTCTGCTCCTGGCTGGGGGGATTCCTAGCAATCTTACCACCAATCATCCTCATGAGCCAGGTAGATTTCTGTGTCTCCAACATTCTGAATCACTATTACTGTGACTATGGGCCTCTCATGGAGCTTGCCTGCTCAGACACAAGACTCTTAGAACTGATGGTCATCCTCCTGGCTGTTGTGACTCTTGTGGTTACTCTGGTACTGGTGACACTTTCTTACACATACATTATCAGGACTATTCTGAGGATCCCTTCTGTCCAGCAAAGGACAAAGGCCTTTTCCACTTGTTCCTCCCACATGATTGTCATTTCCCTCTCTTATGGAAGCTGCATGTTTATGTACATTAATCCTTCTGCAAAAGAAGGAGGTGCTTTCAACAAAGGAATAGCTGTACTCATTACTTCAGTTACTCCCCTGTTGAATCCCTTCATATATACTTTAAGAAATCAGCAAGTGAAACAAGCTTTCAAGGACTCAGTCAAAAAGATTGTGAAACTTTAAAAAAGGAGATTACACTTCAATAAAAAATATATTTTCACTTAACAAATATGCATTGAATGTCTGTATTTCCAGTGCTAAATTGGCCCTTGAAGATAAAAATAGGAAAAGTATATGTCTTAATTATAGTCTAGAATGAAGGAAAGATATATAAATGGTAAATGTATGTAATAAATTTACAAAGAACAAAATGATATTTTAATTGTTATTAGAGAAGAGTGAATGGGGATCCAAAAAGGAACAGCTAGAAAGAATTAGTTCTGTTTTCCATAAATTATTTGAAATTTAAGAAGCAAAACATACTGCTTATTTAGAAGATTAGGAGGATAAGAATTTAGAGTGAAAAAGGAAACCAGATCATAAAAGTATGTAATTACAACTACTGAGTTAGTTGGCTTTCATGAGTCAAGAAAAATTTTCAGAATTGTTTTGAGGAGAATGTAGTATCAGCATTGTTCTTCAGCATGGAGTCCTGGAGACTATGTTTCTATCTAGGAGTGAATAATTTTGATTCTCCTCCCTTTTTTCATTTATATTTCAAATGTAACCATTGCAACTTCCATCCTTTCATAAGAGGAAAATAAAAGAAAAAAATATACATTTAGTCTACTTTTCTCCAAATGAGGAGAAAATTCTTAAGATTTTTGTCAACTTACATGTCCATTTTCTAGTTTATGGTTAAAACAGGTTTCTAGAGGCAAGTTTAGAAGACTTTCATTCTCCTAGACAAAATCTATTGTTTCTTTTCTTAGGTGACATGTTTTAAGTTAATGGCGTGAGATCTGTTTTCTCTCTCTTTGATAGTTTCTGGTGATCTTTTCCTTCCTATTGTGATTTTATTTTCATCTTTTTGTTTCACTTTATTAGATATTAGAAAAGAAAATTCTGTTATCTGGCTCTACTTCTTTAACTTTCCTCCAAATTTTTGCTTTTGTTTTTAACATAAACCATGAATGACCTTTTTATAAAGTGAAAAAGAATATAAAGTGTCAATGCAATTTTATATCTAGAATGTTCCAAATTGTGAGTCTTGAAAAAACAACTAGAAATAGACTATCCTACCAAAAACTTTACACATGGATTCGAGGCCATGACAACTTGAATTTGAATAGGTAGTGGTAGTGTCCAACTTCAATGGAAGAAGTGACTTTTTTTTTTAATCTGAGCACCTGTACACAGTTTAATAATATCTTAACAAATTGCAGGAGTTTTGTTACTATTTGGGGTAGAAGTGGAACATAATCTGGTATTGTCACATGCTTTATATGTGGTAATGTGTTGAGTAGAATGAGGTACTTCTCAAGCATTTAAGGAACAAGCTAGATTGAACTGATTATGACAGCAAATTCTCAGAGCCACAGAAAATATTGGAGAATGTATAATATTTTTGAAAAAATATTCTATGTAAAGCTGTTGCTATCTTTATTATCTTGTTTTCTTTGGTTGCTAGCTAGAGATTAGTGATAATATTCAATATATTCCAAATTTAATGCACTACAAGAACAACAAGTGTTCTTGAATAACTACATCTGAATCATTAAGTTCCCCTACATCCATCTACCAAAACCAATGGTACAGTGGGAGCAATGTCATAGAGTGGCTTAAAACATAGGCTTTATTTCAAATTCCAGCTTTTCAACTTTCTGCCAAAGTTACCTGGGGATAGTTAGTTGATCTCTCTAAGGCTCACCTCTGTCAACTCTAAAATGTTTACAATAATAGTGTCTATCTTATAGTTTTGAGCATTCAGTGAGAAAATAGATGTAAAATATTTAAAAACAGCCAGTATTTATTGTGTTTAATAAATGATATCTAATATAGCTATATGATAATTATAAACAATATCCTTTTCAAGGAACTGGAGCTTAACTAGAAAGAAGGTATTAAATTGGTTGGTTTAATATAGCTGGGACTGTAAAAATGTTGGTCATTGTACTTGAAATCCATCCACACAAGGCCAGCATATTCCTACTCTTCACACATCCAGTTGCATGCTAGGTAGCTGGGTCAGCAAAGATCTTACCTACACTTCAGATAATGCCATCAAAATACTTGGCAGCAGGTTATAAGAAGTGGGCTAGCATCAACTTCATTGCCCTAGATATCTATGGGGTAAAGGGGATGTATTAACGTGCTGAGACAAGGAAGCAAGGTACTTTGTGTAAGTTAGTGTTTAAGATCACTAGGCAAGACGTCACTCAGCATTCTTTATATAAGCATTTGGAAATGAATATGGAAAAGAATGTATCACCTTCTAAATGAGCTCGTCAAAAAAAAAAAGCAAGTCATATTCTTCTAAAACTGTTCATCTAGTCTGGCTTTATGTTAATTCATACTTGGAATATAATCCAAGTCACAGATAAACAAAAGGAATGACTTCACAGAGTCTGGTGCTGAGCTACCAGAATATTCAGTATCTAAATATATGAAATGGTGAGTTTTATTCCTCATGTCACCAATGTGGACAAGAATTAAAAGAAATAGCTTTAGCTGACTAACATTCTCAGAATAATATTATATCAGTGCTAGGGTGAGCAGATTATGAAAATGAGTAAGAGCCAACCTGCTACATTTGAGTGCTCACTCTTCCATTGCCTGTCTTTAAAGTCACCAGAACTTGTGGATGTATGGATTACAACTCTAAAGAGGTAGTCTTTTAGCATCATTTCTTGCAAAGAGTTTTAAATAAAATTCAAAACAATAAAATATAATTTTTTAATTTTTTTATTTCAGCTGGGATCAGTGGCTCACACCTCTAATCCCAGCTCTTTGGGAGGCTGAGGTAGGTGGATCACTTGAGGTCAGGAGTTCAAGAACAGCCTGGCCAACACAGGGAAACCCCACCTCTACTATTACATTGATGCAAAAGTAATTGTGGTTTTTGCTACTAAAGATAACGGCAAAAAGCGCAATTACCTTTGCATCAACCAAATAAAAATGCAAAAATTAGCCAGGCATGGTGATGTGTGCCTGTAATTCCAGCTACTGGGGAGGCTGAAGCACAAGAATCATTTGGAGTACAAGTGGCCTTTTGTTACATCAATGAATTAAATAGTGGTGAATTCTGAGATTTTAGTGCACCTGTCACCCAAGTAGTATACACTGGTGTATACCTAAGGTGTAGTTTTTTATCTCTAGCCCCCTCCCATCATTCCCCTTCTGACTCTCTAAAGTTCATTATACCACACTGTATGACTTTGCATACTCATAGCTTAGCTCCCACTTACAAGTGAGAACATACAGTTTTTGGTTTTCCACTCCCATATCACTTCACATAGAATAATGACTTCCAACTCCACCCAAATTGCTGCAAAAGACATTCTTTTGTTCCTTTCCAGGCCAGGTGCAGTGGCTTATGCCTGTAATCCCAGAACTCTGGGAGGACGAGGAGGGCAGATCACTTGAGTTCAGGAATTCGAGACCAGCCTGGCCAACATGGTGAAACCCTGTCCCTACTAAAAATATAAAAATTAGCCTGGTGTGGTGGCACAAGCCTGTAGTTCTAGCTACCTGGGAGGCTAAGGTATGAGAATCACTTGAACCAGGGAGGCAGAGGTTGTAGTGAGCCGAGATCATGCCTCTGCACTCCAGGCTGGGCAACAGAGCAAGACTCTGTCTCAAAAAAAGATAAAATCAAATAATAAAAAATGTTGTTTCTGAGTTGTTGAATCTGGGGGCACGCCCAAGATGGCTGTATAGGAACAGCTCCAGCCTCCAGCTCCCAGCATGAGTGACACAGAAGATGGGTGATTTCTGCATTTTCAACTGAGGTACCGGGTTCATCTCACTGGGGAGTGCTGGACAATCGGTGCTGGTCAGCTGCTGCAGCCCGACCAGCGAAAGCTGAAGCAGGGCGAGGCATTGCCTCACCAGGGAAGCCCAAGGGAGAAGGGAATCCCTTTTCCTAGATAGGGAAACTGAGACACACAACACCTGGAAAATCGGGTAACTCCCACTCCAATACCGCACTTTACCAAGGGTCTTAGCAAATGGCACACCAGAAGATTATATCCCACACCTGACCTGGAGGGTCCCACGCCCACGGAGCCTCCTTCATTGCTAGCACAGCAGTCGGAGATCTAACTGCAAGGTGGCAGCGAGGCTGGGGGAGGGGCACCCACCATTGATGAGGCTTAAGTAGGTAAACAAAGCCCCGGGGAAGCTCGAACTGGGTGGAGCCCACTGCAGCTCAAGGAGGCCGGCATGCCTCTGTACACTCCTCCTCTGGGGACAGAGCATAGTTAAACAAAAAGCAGCAGAAACCTCGGCAGAGGTAAATGCCCCTGTCTGATAGCTTTGAACAGAGCAGTGAATCTCCCAGCATGGAGGTTGAGACCTGAGAATGGACAGACTGCCTGCTCAAGTGGGTCCCTGACCCCTGAGTGGCCTAACTGGGAGACATCCCCCACTAGGTGCAGACTGACACCTCACACCTCACACGGCAGGGTACAACCCTGAGATGAAGCTTCCAGAGCAAGAATCAGACAGCAACATTCGCTGTTCAGCAATATTCTATCTTCTGCAGCCTCCATTGCATATACCCAGGCAAACAGAGTCTGGAGTGGACCTCAAGCAAATTCCAACAGACCTACAGCTGAGGGTCCTGACTGTTAGAAGGAAAACTAACAGACAGAAAGGACACCCACACCAAAACCCCATCAGTACATCACCATCATCAAAGACCAAAGGCAGATAAAACCACAAAGATGGGGGGAAATCAATGCAGAAAGGCTGGAAATTCAAAAAATCAGAGTGCATCTCCCCCTCCAAAGGAATGCAGCTCATCACCAGCAATGGAACAAAGCTGGATGGAGAATGACTTTGACGAGTTGAGAGAAGAAGGCTTCAGTTGATCAAACTTCTTAGAGTTAAAGGAGGAACTACATCACCAGAGCAAAGAAACTGAAAACCTTGAAAAAAGAATGGATGAATGGATAACTAGAATAATCAAGGCAGAGAAGAACTTAAAAGAACTGATAGAGATGAAAACCATAACACAAGAATGATGTGACAAATGCACAAGCTTCAGTAACAAACTCAATCAACTGGAAGAAAGAGTATCAGCAATTGAAGATCAAATGAATGAAAAG